AGCAGCCTCCCCAGCCAGCCCATGCCATGCCATCCAATCCCCGGCCACGTGCCCTGCGTCCAGGTCCATTTCATTTGCAGGTCATTGACACACCACCTTCTCCCTCACCCTGCCTGGCTCTGCCTTCCCACCTGAGCACACGTTTCCAAGGAGACACACCCATCATCTTGGTGCACTTGGGTGCCTATTATGGTACAGAAGCTGGTCAGAAGGATGCTCCTGAGATGGTCCAGGGAGCTCACCAAACAATCCATCATAGGGGTTGGGCTCCCCAGGCCCTCGCATGGCCAGCCGGTGCCTGTATGTAGTACACACAGTGTGTGATGGTGGTAGAGCCGAGTGGCTTCAGGCCTCAAGCTCTGAAGGCTGACCGTCCTGGGTTCTAATCCCAGCTCTGCACTGAGGATCTGGGTGGCCCTGGGCAAGTCATTTAACCTCAGGGTCTCCCTTTTCTCATCGATATAGTGGGATTAGTGATAACAGCAGCACGCATGTGAAAGAGTTGTCGTGAGGACTAAACGAGTTAACATCGAAAGAACTTAGATCAGTGAGGTCCTCCATCAGTGTTAGCTGCTGGTGGTGGTAATGGTGGTTGCTATAGTAACATGTTGGTTAGCATGGGAGCAGCTGCTTGACCCCAGAGGGACTGCCTTCCGCAGGCTTTGGCCCTGTGCCCCTTGCACACCTCCAGAGACTGGTAAGAAATCAGGACAACTGCAAACTATTAGGACAGAGGAGGCTTCGAGTTTGAGCTGCCGGACTGGGCCGCCTCCTGCGAGCACGGCTTATTCAGATGGATTAGGGAGAGGGCCCACTCCTCCTCCCCAGCTGCCCTGGGAAGGAGAGATGGGTAATTGATGAAGAAGCCCCGAACAGGAGATTAAATGAGTGATGTCCAGACACTGATTGCCTCCTAATCAGGTGATGAATGCAGCTCCCCACACCTGTTTCCAGCAGGCTTCCACCCCGCCTCCCCCCAGGCTCCCAGTGAGCACAGTCCTGCTCATTCCGGGCCTCTTTGTTTTCTCTTCGCCAGCATTTCTCTTGCTTAATGGTGAGGAGCTGGAGTATGGCTTCCCATTAACTTTTATCCTCCCCATAAACGGCCTGCTTGACTCACAGTGACAGTTGTTCCGCTCTGTTCCCGGGGGTTCCTCCATCCTCATCTGCTCACAGCCAGCCTGTCACGCCTCAGCCCCGCCCACCAACGCCCCACTTGTGGGCCCTGCTGTGTCCGTGGAGGTAGGGAAGCTGGCTTTTACATTTTATTTACTTTTTTTCCTTTTCATACAAGCAAAAGCCTCCGGTCTTAGCTTCAAAGTCCCTGGAGGGAGCTGAGGCTGAGGGAGCTGGGCCTGGGAATTGAAGGGCCCGGAGACAGAAGGGCCATGGGGTGCCTGCCCTGGAACCCTGAGCCATCAGCAGAGACTGAGGCCTCTGGAAAGGACTGGGAGGGGCGTGGGAGGACAAGTGAGGGCTAGGGACCACGTCCCCCAGGAGGACAGGAGTGAAGCAGCTCTGAGAAGGCCACTTTGAGAGGTTCTAGTGTCCCTAACCAAGGTGGCTTTCCCAAGGGGAGGGATGATTAGTCTGAGGATGGACTGAGATGGGGGCACAGATCAGCTTTGGGGAACCCTCCTTCTCTACCCCAAATCAGCCGGTGACCTGGAGTGAGGCTTTTGTCCCAGAGCCTGGATTCCTCCTGGCCTCCCTGCCCCCACTCTGTCCCCCACCCCTCAGAAGGACAGATCTTTCTAAGAAACCAAGTCTGGAGAGAGCCAACATGGGGGCATAGGTAAACGCCTGTACTCACCGCCTCCCACAACCACACCGGAAAGCTGGCTGAATGAAGTCCTACAACTAGAGAAGTAAAGAAGAAAGCACACTGAGATTGTAGGAGGGGTGGAGGTGTGGAAAGCACCCACGTGGGCTGCTTTTTTAATGGGGAGGGATATCGTCTCTATGGAGGCCGCCCATAAGGAGCAAGGGGCCCCAGCATCACACCAGATCCCCAGCCCAGGCTCCCAGAGCTGGGAAAAGTTCCTATAAGTATGGGCTGTATAAACCAGCGGGGATTGGGGTTCAGTGACACAGAGGCTGCTGGAGACCCAGGTATTTCATTTAAATGGCCAGTACACAAACTGAATTTACAAGGCCCCACTTACTCTGAGCTCCAGTACCAGGGTGAGGCTCTGGGGGACCCAGACACATATGAGGAGGAACTGGATTGTCTGGCATTAGATGGGGTGGAGGATTCCTCGCAGGGGTCTTGTTCCTATGCTGGGACATCCCCTGTCCCCAGGCTGACTGGCAGCCTTATCTGCATCTCCATCAGCCCAAGCACACTGTTTGCTCCACTCTAGGGATTCCCAGAGACCCGCTCCATCCAATTTGCAACCCCACTCAAGCTGTTTGCAGCAGCTTTTCCATATGAATAGCCTGTCCTGGCTCAGGCTTCAGACTTTGCTAAAATCTCTCAAACAAGCTACAGCTGGTGACAGCTTGCCCCCAACATATCAATAAAGAGTCCAAGACCTGGCACTAGCACCAGCCTGCCTTGCTTCACAGCTGGGCCTCACCTGGGCACCTCCAACCCCAATACAAATAGCAAATAGCAGCCGTCTGCTGATCCCGATGTAGCTCCTGCCAGGTGGCCCCTGGCAGTGGCTGACTTTGCACCTCCCTGGAGGCCCTAGAGCCAGTGAACCCAGTGAACAGCTTTAGACCATAGCAGATTACAACTCTACACATCCACAAGAGGCAGACTTAGTGAGCACCAAAGCCCCACTGAAGCAAGTCCTGCTCCATAGGGGTGTCTCCTGAACACAGCTCTCCCCACTGTAGTCCCAGCTGGTCCTCACAGCCAGTTGGGCCGGAGGTTAATTCCTTCCAGTGACACCAACAGCAATCGAGACTTAACTACAAGACTATGCACACAACCCACAAGCACACCTGGAGTGCCCAGCTCAGGTGACTAGGGAGGCTGAGCAACTGGGCGCTATAGGACACCTATTATGCAAGGCCACTCTACCAATTCCAGGAGACATAGCAGCTCTACCTAATACATAGAAACAAACATGTCACAAATGGAAGCAAACTACTGGATAGAGTTCAAAACTATAATTATAAGGTTACTCAAGGACTTTAATGAGACTGTCAAGGATCTTAGTGAGAATGTCAAAGACATGAAAAAGGACAGTCAGAAATTAAGCAGACAGAAATTAAGTATACACTAACTGAAATAATTTACAGGGATTCAACAGTAAAGGATTCTGAGAATCAAATCAACGACTTGAAATATGATCATTTTGAAAGCTGCCATGGAATGGGTATATGAGGAAAAGGAAGAGTCCATGTCAGTCCTGATAGGGGACAAACCTGGCCAGTACCCTTCAGATAGTGGAACCAGCTGCCTCTTTGTCATGAGAGCAGGGCTGATAACAGCTTATGCCCAGCTGGTGTGGCTCACTACTTGAGCACCCATCTATGAACCAGGAGGTCACAATTCAATTCCTGGTTGGGGCACATGCCCAGTTTTCATGCTTGATCCCCAATAGGGGGCATTCAGGAGGCAGCCAATTCTTTCCTATCATTGATGTTTCTATCTCTCTCTCTCCTTTCCTCTTTGAACTCAATAAAAACATACTTTAAAAAAAATGACAGCTTACGTGTTTTAAGCACTTATGATATCCCAGGCATAGTGGCATTCAAACACTTGTTTAATCCCTCAAGCAGCCTTTGGAAGGTTTTCCCATTTCTGAGCCCCATTTTACAGATGGGGAAAATGAGGCACAGAGCAGTTCGTTAGGACCCCAAATCACACAGCTAGTAGGTGATGACGGAGCCAGAACTCAAACCTGAGTGGAATGATTCAGAACCTGCCACCTCTATGGTATTCAGACACGGGATAATCTAGGTATCACCTCAACTGGTAGCCCTGCATGGAATACTGCTTTGAGAAACATTTAGACCAAGCATGTCAAACTCAAAGGCTAACATGGGCCAAATAAACAAGGCATGCAGGCCGTAAGTTTGACATGCTTGATTCAGACTGTGATCAGGGGGAAAAGGACTGTAATTGATTAGCAATGTCTGCTCTGGACTTGAGGAGGGAGGAGTCATAGCTCTGCAGGCCACTCAGGCATCACAAACCTTTGTTGATACTCTGGGTGGGATCCTTGTTTATTACGGGACTGCCCAGTGCATTGTAGGATGATTAGCAGCATCCCTGGTTCCCACCCACTAGCTACCAGTATCACCACCACCCCCAGTCCTGACAATTAAAACTGTTTCCAGATTTTGTCTCCTGGAGGCAAAATTGCTGGTTGAGAACCCTTGCAATGGGGGATTGGCAAAAGAGTACTGAACTTGAAGTCAAGAGAACAGGGTTCTAGCTTGGCCCTGTCACCATGGATATGGTCCTACTCCTCCACAGGCATCAGGTTCTTAATGTGTCAAGTAAAGGGGATGAAGTGGATGGTCCCAGGAACCCCTTCTAGAAGCCTGTGGTTGCACACCGTGGTCCCCTTCCCTCACTCAGGTCTTCAGTTAAAACTCTCGGGAGCATAACTTTCCAGAGGAAACCAACAGAGAAGCCTGGAAGCTGCAGCGAGCTCTTTGACCCCTTGGAGCTTCATATTTGCTCCTCATTAAAGGAGAGAAAGAAACAAAGGGGAAAAAGCATTCAAATCTTGGTACTAAGATTTCCTCCAAGCTGCAGTTATCAAGCAGACACGAATAGAAAAATCACAGAGACAATAACCGAACACCCATTTCCCTGTGTTAGGAGAGAAAACCAACTATTGGTTGGGGAAATCTCCCCAGCTCCGTTCAATTATGAATCTCCGCAGGAAGCCTGGAAAATTCCGGCTTCTCTGCAGCCAAGGGTTGGAGGCGGCGGAAGGCGGGCGTGGTGGGTTCTTGAAGAACTCACCGTGAGAGATGAGGGATGGCGGGTGGTGAGAGCGAAGCCAGGATCCTGCCTCCTGTCGAGGGCCAGGATGGGTCGGGGGGATGGGGGCCTCTGGGACCCTACAGCTGTATCTGAGGTCTTCCCAGCAGGCATCCCTTGCGATGGCAGCACCGTGTGGGAGGAGACGTGTTTCCAGGGCTTGGTTCATGGGCCACCCGCAGGTAGGAAGGCTTTTTCTTATTGGAATGGAGGAGAAGTCGACACTTCTGGGAGATGTTTCCATGCTGACTCCAAATGGTCTCATTTCCTGTTCCTCCTGGGAACTGTGTGAAGTCCATGGACACCCCACATTGTCCATCAGGAAACAGATGCTGTACGGCTAACTGGTCAACCCAGTGCTTGCTTTCCCAGATGACTGACACCTCAAGAGGCAGAAACTCACAAGCCACACAGCTTCCACATGGTGCACGGGGACCAGCGATCAGCACCCCCATCCCCCGATACAACGCCCCCCTCTCCCCCATTGGCCCTGTAGTCTCCAGGGAGCCTGTGCCCGTTTTTGTACCTTATAAAAGTGTTTCAGGCCTGCCCTGAGGAAGGAAGTATGACTTCGGAGCCTGTGAGAACTGGGTTGGAGTCTCCTTCCCCTGTGGAAGGTGTGGCTGGTTGGAAGTTAGGGTTCTCCTGGTTGCAGGCACAGAAATCAACTTCTTCTGGCCTGATCTCCAAAAAGGACTTTATTGGGTGTGGGGAGTCCCAAAGCATTGAAGGGTTTAACAGCCAAGACTGAGGGAGGGGAGAACCAGGAGCTTTGTAGCCGGCATCACAGACCACTGAGAATACCCCGTTGGTGAACTCCCCAACACCCCTAGTCCCTGGATCTCCTCTGATCCAAATCCATACTCCCAAGAGTGCATCTGATTGGTCAAGCTCAGGACAGATGTGGGCTAGGATCTCTGGGGTTGGGGGGGGCGGGACCACCTATGTGAGGGACCCATTCCCACAGGTACACCTCAGAGGCACATCAGAGCCTTGATATGGTCTTGGCAGTGGGCAGATGGCCCACCCTTTCTCTCCCCATTTCCTGCCCCCTGAGTCACTGCCAAGCTGTCCAAGCACAGAATCCCTAGAGCCCAGGATCTAGAGCAGTGGTTCTCAACCTGTGGGCCGCGACCCCTTTGGCGGTCAAACGACCCTTTCACGGGGGTCGCCTAAGACCATCCTGTACATATCAGATATTTACATTACGATTCATAACAGTAGCAACATTACAGTTATGAAGTAACAACGGAAATAATTTTATGGTTGGGTCCCAACATGAGGAACTGTATTTAAAGGGCCAGCAGGTTGAGAACCACTGATCTAGAGAGATGCCTCAGTTTACCAGACTAACTGATCTCCAGTTTCAGGTCTATAGAGATAAGAGTTTGGGGCAGAAATAGAGTTGTCTCTGGGAAACCTACTGCCTGGAGAAGGGGCTTGAACCAGAACTGGTTCCGGACAGACCCCATCACCTAGTGGACATTGAACCAGAGCCCAGCCCCATTGCAGCAGGTGCCACCTTCCTGGTGCTGATGACAAGGGTGGCTTCTCCCCCAGATCCTCCACCGGCCTTCCTCTGGGTTGTCCCATTTGGGGAAAACAGCCTACCGGACCTAGTTGTCACCTGGACTGCTAGACATAGGAAGCGGCTTGGAGATGGAGCCGTCTGCCTGCTGCCTGGTCACAGACTAGAACTGAGGGAGGAGACTTGGGGTCCAAGTTGCTGTAGAATTCATCCTTCTCTGTCAGGTCTGAGATGCTGCAGGTTGAGGCCCAATGCTCCTCAGCATGGCTCTCTCCTTGTGAGTGACAGGGAGCGAGGGGGCGGCAGGCTGAGTCCAAGGTCCCGCTGGCCTCCTCACCCTGCACTCCTGGCAGCAGCGGCTGCTGGGGCTGCCATGGCCCGTCTGACAGCTGCAGGAAGCTGCCGACTGAGCCAGAGTTTAAATATGTTCCTCTCACAAGGAGCTCCAATGTGAGGGGAACAAATGAAGAGGGAGCTTGTTAATCCCAGAGGAGTGCATCCTGCAGTCTCCCGGCAGCTGGGCTCCTCTGAGACTAAAATAAGATGCCCAAGAGGCCCCAGGGTGGGGCCCTACAACCTAACAGGTCAAGTGACACCCCGCCAGGCTGGGAATAAAATCGCAGACGTGCAGAGCCGAGAGGGACTAGAGCTCCTGGCATTCGCCATGAAGAGACTTTCCAGCTTAAGGAAAGCTCACGGTGGCACCTTGGAGCCGGTGGCATTAAATCCAGTCCTTTTGCAGGGCAATCCAGGCCACCTCCCTGACTGCAGCCCCACCTACATTTTCCAGCCTCAATCGCCACCCCCACACCTGCTATTTTCCTAACTCCCTAACGTGCCTCTGTGTCAGAACCATCGGACATCTAATACTACTTCCCCCTGGCTCTGTGAGCCCAGCCCCTTCCCAGAACTGCCCAGATGACCCATCCAACACTCAGGCCCAATTCTTGGGAACTCTGTGAACCTGCCACCTCCCTGTAGCCTGTGCCAGTCGCTGGCTGCCATGTTCTAAGGCGATGTGTGCACTCACCTCTCTAAGGAGACTATACGTTCTTGCTGGCAGGACCCATGTCTTTGGGCTCCTACAGCCTGGCATCAATAAATGACTGCTGAATTAAAAGGACAGATGAGCAAAGGGCTGAGTGGATAAACCGTGTTTACATCAAAACCCAAGCAAGATCCTCTAAGGACAGTGAGGCACCTCAGTGACTCTCAGCAAGAAAAGAGCGTGTGTGACACCCTGGTTGTCGGTGTGGGCATTGCCCAGGGACACTTTGGTCAGAAAACAGGTCTGTCCAAAGGCATCTCCAAGAAACGAGGAGTTAAAAACTGTATTCTCACCGTGACAACATCATCAGGATTTATCCTTCTCAAAACCCTTTGACCACCATGGGCCTCCTTGGGCCTCCCCTCAGCTCTGAAAGATGGTAAACTCGTTCCCCACTTTCCAGGTGGGGAGAAGCTTTCCTGACCTCTGCCCTGCAGCTGAGGCCAGGTTCCTCAGTGGAGGCCTTGCTCTCAAAGCGCTGGACCCCTCTTGCAGGCTTCTTCCCTCGGTCATCATTGAATGACTAGAAGCAGCAAGCTCCAGAATGGCAGGGACCATGTCTGTCTTGGTTTTTTCTTGTATTATTGGTTAAGGCTGTAACTGAAACATGCCCAAACGTATAATGTCTTAAACGTAAAAGAAGTGGATTCGTTGTTCATGGAACAGTGGGTGGTCCTCTTCGTAGCAGGTTTCCTCCACAATGGGATTCAGGGCCCAGGTCCTTTCCATCTTGTGGCTCCACCATTCCCTGTGGCTGGTGGGAAGGGGGGTGGGGCAAATGGAGTTGGTGGGGGCACACCGACTTCTCCAGAGCCTTATCCAGAAAGGGCACACATCACCTCTGCTCACACTCCATTTGCCAACCCAGTCACACAGCACATCGAGCTATAAAGGAAGCTGAGAAACAGTGCAGCCCTGTGTCCAGTAAGAGCGGATGGGAGTTCTTAGTGAGCACTCTCTCTGCTGGATCCCCAGCATCTAGCACATAACAGGAGCTCCATGAATATAAGTTGGGTGAAGGAACTGAAGGTCATAGTGGCTTAACAGGGTTTCAGCCGGGAAAGTCCAGCTGAGTCCAGGCCGCCTCTCCAAGCCTGGAGTTTCTTTATCCGACAGCCTGCCTAGCTGCAGCTGGAGAGAGGCCAGCCCTAGGAGGACGCCAGCGGATGCCAATTGATAAATCACAGCTATTAGGAGTGTTCTTTGGAGATAGCATGGAAGTCAATGAATTATGAGGGAGAGCTCTGAGGGGGGAATTACGGGGAGCAAAGCGCTCGAGGGTTGGGAGAAACATGAAGCCTGGGTTGACAGCAACTTGGAGCACTGGCCTGGATACCTAGCTGGGCATCGGCTCTGAAACCTGTGTGATGAGCTGAATTGTGTCCCTTCAAATTCTTACATTGAATTTGCAGGGACACAATTGAAGTCTTACCCCAGTGCCTCCCAATGTGACCTTATCTGGAGTATGGGTCTTTAAAGAGATAACCAAGCTAAAATGAGGTCATTAGGGTGGAGCCTAATCCAGTATGACCGGTGTCCTTGTGGGAAAAGACAGTTTTGGAGATGGACGGACACACACAGGGAGAACGCCATTTGAAGATGAAGACCAAAATCAAGGTGATGGTCCCACAAGCCAAGGAACACCAGTGATTGTCAGCAAACCCCCGGACGCTGAGAGGCCTGGAACGCATCCTTCCTCAGAGCCCTCGGAAGGAACCAACCCTGCCCACACCTTGAACTTGGCCTTCTGGCCTCCAGAATGGCGAGACCAGGTATTTCTGTTAGTTAAGCCACCGGGTTTGCGGTACTTTGGTACGGCAGCCCTAGAAACGAATACTCCTGCCTCTTTGCACTAGAATGAACTTGGCCAAGTCATTTCCATCCTGGCCCCTGACCCCTCACCTGCAGGCACATCGAAGGACAAGAACTGGGTCTCCCCAAACCAGGCCCACCGATTGCCACTGCCTTTGTTCTTTTCACACCTGCTGCTCCTTTCAGGAGCGGCCCCTGCCCACTCAGGGTCTTCCAACCTCGGTGACTCCATGGAGACTGTACCATCAAAGCCCGTCTGAGCCTGTCATGTGAGACCTCAGCCCAGCTGCTGCACCCCATTGCCGCTCCGTACCCATGCCATACTGTTTGAGTTTCTAGAACACATGGCCGGCCTACCTGCACACCCTCTGCCCCAGCATCTCCATCTTCCAGTGACAGGTTAATTCAGCCTCAAACATCAGCCAATGCCCTTAGCCCAAGAGTTTTCCCACCAATAAAGCGTGTCCGGCACCCACATTCCCCCATCATGCTCCAGGCAATCAGAACTACATGTAGCTCAGAGAGCACACTATGTCCCGCCTCCAGGGTAGGAGGGGTAGGGGCACACTCTGAATTCGGGTGGCCTAGGTTCAAGTCCTGGCTAGGGCGCCTAGTAGCAAATGGTGTAGGGTTGTGATGGAGGTGACGGGAGTTCATAAGTGTCAGATGCTTAAAAGTAGTGCCTGGCACATAATAGGTGCTAAGTAAATCCTTGCCATCATTCTTTTTGTGAGATAACACTCTTCCCCCAAGTCCTCACCCACCAAAACCCTGCCACCCCTCAGTTCTCCACC